GGCGATGGCAATGATGATGACGATGACGATAACGAAGATGACGAGGGCGATGATGATGATGATGACGATGGCGATGATGATGATGATGACGATGGCGATGACGATGACGATGACGATGACGATGGCGATGACGATGACGATGACGATGGCGATGATGATGATGATGATGATGATGATGATGACGATGGCGATGACGATGACGATGACGATGGCGATGATGATGATGATGACGATGGCGATGATGATGATGATGATGACGATGGCGATGACGATGACGATGACGATGGCGATGATGATGATGATGATGATGATGATGATGACGATGGCGATGATGATGATGATGACGATGGTGGTGATGATGATGACGATGGTGGCGATGATGATGACGATGGCGATGATGATGATGGCGATGACGATGACGATGACGATGACGATGACGATGACAATGACGATGACGATGGCGATGGCGATGACGATGACGATGACGATGACGATGACGATGACGATGGCGATGACGATGATGATGATGATGATGATGATGATGATGATGATGATGATGATGATGATGATGATGACGATGGCGATGATGATGATGAGAATATAATTAATACCGACCACAAATATCAACAACAACAACAGTAATCAAAACAACAACACCAACTCACGGCGAACTCGAGACACTTCCCCTGCGGCCCTGTCTGGGTGCTCGGTTGCGTCACCAGCCACGCCTTCTTGTGCGGCTGGGCGGTGTTGAGCATGTCGTGGGCGGTCGTGAAGCCATAGCCGCCTATGGGTGTGGGGAAGAGGGGGCGGGGGTGAGTGTGAAGTTGTTGTCTTTTTCAGCAGTATAGAGTACATAGACACATACAAACACACACATACACGTACACACATATAAACACACGCATACAAACATACACACACACACACACACACACATACATACACACACACACACACACACACACACACACACACACACACACACACACACACACACACACACACACACACACACACACACACACACGACACACACATCCTTATCACGCATCCCTCACCTGCGGGGTCGTTCCCGTTATCAACAGGAGGCCCCCCGACCCAATAGGACTCCGAGCCCGTCCCCACTTTCCACGAGGCCACGGCGAAGGCGTCGGAGTCCTCCAGCAGACTGCATTCGGACGCCAAGGACCCCGTGGCGTTGAAGCTGCAGTCGGCCTGAAGGGAAAGGGATAGAGGATAAAGGGATAATGGATAAAGGGATAACGTTTAAAGGGATAATGGATAAATGGATAACGGATAAAGGGATAACGGATAAAGGGGTAGCGGATAAAGGGATAATGGATAACGTATAAAGGGATAATGGAGAAAGGGTTAATGGATAAATGGATAACGTATAAAAGGATAATGGATAAATGGATAACGGATAAGGGATAGTGGATAACTGGATAACATATAAAAAGATAATGGATAAAGGGATAACAAGATGGGAGCGCGTTGTGTGTACTTAAGGATGTTATATGTACGGTACTTGTTTCAAATCGTCCTTTCGGTTATGTGTTTGTCTGTTCTGTTTGTTTTATATATCCTTGTTTGTTGTATGTCTTTTATATCCCTGTTTGTTGTTCTATGTCTAGCCCATTGTATTTTTTCTCGCTCTATTTTATGTCTTTCTCTCTTCCTATCCTTAATTTTTTGTTCATTTTTGTGAATGAATGTTTTTCATAGAATCCACTTAAAGCTCGATCCTGCGGCCAGACATCCACACACCTCGCCTCACGGTCTAGCTATGTGGGTGTGGAGGAACACAGTGGATGGCGAGATTATCCACCTGCCAGCATCATCACGGACTTTTACTTTCACATGGCCGTGAATTTGATACATAGAAAAAGGTTACATGGTTCGTGTGTGTTTGTTTGTTTGTGTGTGTGTGTCTGTGTGTGTGTGTTTGTGTGTGTGTTTGTGTGTTTGTGTGGGTTTCTGCATGCGTGTGTGTGTATACGTGTGTGTGTAAATGTAATATACAGAAATGTACATAAAAAAGTGAATGCTAATCACCTGTGTATAGACTGGCGTCACTCCGAACGCAAAGACGAAGAGAACGAAAAACATAAATTTCCTTTTGATTTTCGTGTTTATGTCACTCATATTAGGTAAGACGTGAATCTCGTGGATATTTTCTGTTGTTTTCTCTCTCACTCACTGTTTTTTCTTTCGTTTTTTCCTTTTCCTTCTTCCGTATTAGAAAACTAACGCTGGGTTATCGTATTTTGATTTTATAAAATCATTATTTTATTCTCTCTTGTCTTATTAACTTATTCCTCACACAACAATTATTTTCCTCCTAAATAGGCAGATCTAAACAAACCACACACCAATAAAGAATAAAACGAGAAAAAAATCGCAAGTCAAAACTATACAACCCACAAATAAACACCCAACTGAAATCAATAACCCAGCGGTCTCTGTCTCTCCCTTTCCAGCGTCAACATGAGTGAGC